CGCCGAGTCGGAGCGCTGCTTCGACAAGTATCCCCTCCAGTTCCCCGATGGCAGCACCAAGTACTACATTGGCTCAAAGACCGGCAGTTACGATCTGAGCGTTCGGCTGCCCAGCGGCCTCAGCTGCAAGCATTGCGTGCTCCGCTGGACCTATACGGCGGGTAAGAGTTGCCATTCACATGTAGAGATATAGACCTTCTTCTTCTTCAATTCTTCTTTTATATGTTTTCAATATTTGTTCGTCTTTCTTTAATCTTTAATCTTTAGGCAACAACTGGGGCATCTGCGAGGACGGCAGCGGCGCCATGGGCTGTGGTGCCCAGGAGAACTTCAAGAACTGCGCTGATATCACCATCTTGAGCTCAGCTCGAGGCATCATTGAGGACTTGGCGCTGCCAGTCATAGTGCCTGAGGCTGAGCCAGAGCCAGTGCTAGTGCCAGAGTCTGTGGCATAGCCAGCTGCTGCAGCCATATTAGAACTGTAAAATCTCAAAAAGTTGTTAAGTTTCTTATATGTATATAGAGAGGGATAGACCTTTGTTATGAATGCATTTATCATTTTATTCAATAAATCTTTTTTTATAATATATGTATGTATATATATACTATGTATAAACTTTGTTGCATGTGAATTTGTTTCTGTTACTGAGTTCGTCTGTGTGTGTGTGTGTGTGTGTGTGTATGTAGGTGTCTGTGTGTGTGTATGTGATTGGCTTATGCGAGCCGTTTTTGTTAATTTATAAATTTTGTTACTCATTTTGGCGGCTAACCCGTGCATCTAATGACTGCAGCCTGTTCCTGTTCCTGTTCAAATGCAAATATCCTGCATCATTTTGTTGTACATGAGAATTGTGAATGGGAGGAGCTTGGAAAGTGTGCAAAGGTCGCAGAGGGCACTTGGCTCTCACTCTCTGCCTCTGCACTAAATATTCAATATGAAATATCCGTATGTATGCTAATGCATAGTAGATGTACATGTATGTATATATATGCCATTGTATATATGTATATGTATATATGCATATGTATATGTATATGTGTGTGTATGCAATACTTGTAACTTGTTTGCTCGCTTACAACTAGGTTCACAATAACTGCTTAGTAATTAGGTTCACAAATAAGTTCTGTAAATGTTAATGTTAATGTTAATGTTAATTCTTTCTTACAAAGCGTTCAGGTCGTTGGCAAATCAAAGAATCAATTATCCATAATATCCATTAATTCAATTAAGTAATTTCGCTACTGTCGCATCCTCGACTCGAGTGCCTCTGCTTAAGAATTGTGCAATCATTCACTTAATATAAGCACACGTCTGCGGCTAAATATATTTGTTTAACAATTAACCAAACAAATCGCAAACAACATTTTGCAAAGTTTCTCTCTTGGGTCTATTCACTATTATTATTTTTTTTTTTTTCATTTTTTTTTTTTAATATTGTATTTTATCGTTTAAGGATTGCCACTAGTAATTTCATCAAAGTGTTAGCTCTATGTAGATTAATGTTTGTTAAAAACTCTTGTAACCCCAAAAAACTACTTAAGTACATATACATTTCCAGATTGTTAAAAACTATCAAAACAGCTCGGCTCGTATTTTATTCTCTCCTCAACTTATCTTCATTGAAACTGTGCGAATTGTTCACAACTGAATTATTTTTACTTATTTCTCTCTCTTCCTTTCTTTCATAATATTTGTTGTTGTTTTGGTTACGAATGTTCTTAAAAGCCCTTTTAAAATACAGTTTTTGTTTTTGAAAAAATATAGTACATATACATACGTATGATTTATACACATCCAAATCTGGTTTCTACAATAATTTTTGTTGTTGTAAAAGCACGTTGTAAATTTTGAACAAGCTTATGTATAGTTTACTCACATTTTCTTCTTATTCATTTTTATGTTTTTTTTTTTTGTGATTTTTCTTTTTTATAAATAGTTAAATATTTTATATTGTTTTTTAAAAAATTTAACATTATACAACACTATTTGTTTTTCTTTTATACCTGAATTTTAGAATTTTGTATCCGAAACGCCATTTTTGCTTTGAGTGTGTATGTGTGTGTGTTTGTGGGTCAACTTCAAGTTTTGTTACTTTGTGTATTTTCTGGTAAACTTCTTCTTAAAAAATTTTGTCAGGTCGAAATTGTTGGTTGCCAAAAGTTTCTATTTATTCCTTGTATACTTTATGCCTTGTATTGTATAAGTTCTCTTCTTCTTATTCTTCATATTGTTGTTGTAAACTAGAGCGTGTCAAAAGTTGATTGGTTGTGATTTATTTATTTTACTTTCGTTTGTTTCTTTTACATTTTGCGAATTGCCAAAATATTTGCGGCTTGCACTTATCATAATTGACGAATTTCAATGCCGACAGAGTTCTGGAAGGATGTTGATTGGATTATCCGTAGGTTGCTTAATTCTTTTTCCTTTTTTCCTTTTTTTGTGGATTGGCTCTATTAAAATAGCTGGTTTGTATTTTACGTATTAAGTTTTAAGTTGTATTTTGTATACATATATATATACATATGTATATATATTTGATAATATTTAATCATTGGCACAAATTCGCTATCTGAGTTGCTGTTTAGCAGTTGCTTGTTCATTAGCCTGGGATTATGTATATTGCAAAGTTTTAACAAAATTATTCAAATTATCTTGCATATATTTCGTGTTTTTTAGTTTGTTTTCGCCAATACGAAACACAAAGTGTAAGCAATATATTTGATGTTGTTGTTGTTGCAGCTGCTGTTTCACTGTAATAATTCACACGTCTCGTTTGATAAAAACTTTGTTTTATTTGTTTGTTTTGTTTTGCTTTTTTTTTATATAAACATTAACACACTAAAATTTAATTATTTTATCATATAAAATTTTGTTTTCAACTATATTCATAAAAAAAACATAAAAGCTAAACGAAACTAATTTGTAAATTATAAGTAAGTGCGGCTTTAAAAAKTTGTAAATCAATTCAAATTGGATTTTAACCTTTCTTCTCTTTTTTTATATATATATATATATTTTTAATAACTAACTATTACACAAATAAGAAAGTGTGTGTGTGTGTGTGTGAGTGTTGTGAGTTGACTGTCAAATTGAAAGAACTGATGCAATAACTAAAGCAGAAGACTTTCATTGTAAATATAATTATGCTCTACATAAGATTGCAACCGAAAGGCGCAAATTATCCCGTGACAGTTGCAACAGACACAGCACGATAAGTTGAATGCACACACACCAGATAATACAAAGTTGCTGGCATTTTGCGTCTCATAAGGTTGGGCCATTTGAATTGTGATTTGTTTAAAGCTTGTCTACGAACTAATTTTACAAACTAAACAGATGTTGGTATTGGTATTTGTTTCTGTTTTTTGCTTTTTGCTTTAGTTTTCGTCTCTGTTGAAAGCCAGATGAATATTTAAAATTAATTGCAGTCACACACTCTATTTATAAAATAATATTAAATAAGCGACGCTACACGGACAACTAAATTTAAACATATAATTAATAGTAATGGTAATCATAAAAACAATTAAAACATTCATAATTCAAGTGTATATAGATATATATATATATATTGCAGCAACAGTGGAAGACAGTTTTCTCTTGCTTTTGCTTTTCCATTTTGTTTGTTTCTTTTCTTCATTCAAGTTTATCAATTTGTTGATTTCTGTTTCATTATTGCTTTTTGCTTTTGCTGTTATTCTTGTTGTTGTTGTTGTGGTTGTTCTTCAATATTTATTTTCTGTGTACAATTTAAACATATAAATTTCATGTAAATCATAAAGAAACAACGATCTAAACTAAGCTAATTAATTATATAAATTAGATTTGTTTATTCAAAATTAAATAGACAACAGTGTAAAAAAATAGGGCCAGATTAATAGTAGAATAATGTACATACAATTTAAAAAATGAAATGTTTCCATGAAAAAAAGCTGACAATTTAAAAGCATTTTTACGTGCGGTTTTTGTTTCTCTCGAAAACCTTTAAGACT